CTCTCACGGGCGGGTGGGGAATAATCTGCCGGAAGGTGATTCTTTTTTTTTCAACAATCTCCTGGCTAGGAGGTGATTTACAGCCTCTAACAAGCTTGTTAATAGTCCCGTGAGAAATATGTATCGACAGGAGATAACTCCTATCTCACTTCTGTCGCTGTCCTGCTCAGCTATACATTCGCGCTTTTAATCCTTATTGCAGGTAACTGTTTTTGTAAGATCCCTTCGGTCTGCAGGAAGGAGTCTTGGAGGCTGCTGAGACTCGGCTGGATGAAAACTCCTAGAGGAAATGCCAGTTGGGATGGCTAGAGATCTGGAGGAAACTGACTCATCCTCAGAGGAGGAGGAAGAGGAGGAAGATGCTGTGGATGGCCTGGAGTAAGTAGGGGAATACCCTCTTATCTGTTTCTGTGTCCCTGTGGTTCCTGCAGGATTTGTAGTAATTTGAAAAGACAGATGCATTCCTTACCCTCCTACCTATAAAGTGGGAGATGGTTGGTTTGGGTCTCAAGATTGTGAGCAGGCTACCTACATCTGTGGCCTGAAAGACCACCATATTCATCAAGGTTGGATGTGCACCTTTTCCTTGGCTCAAGTCTGTAGTTTCATTGACTTCTCTGTCATATTCCTAAACTGGGGACTTTTTTTGATGATGTCCTTTCTTTTTGTTTGGTGGTTTTGTTTTGTTTGTTTTGTTTTAGTCTTTACCGCTGCAGAGAATTGAAATTTGCTGTACAGTAGACTGATATACAATGTTTTATTGTATGTCATATTATTGTATGTCCTTTTCTAAAAGCTGTCTTGTGAGAACTCAACTCCTAATTGTTAATGCATGTTTGTGCCATCTTTGTTGAGTGGCTTCTTTTTATCTTTGCTTCTGAGGGAGTCATTCCCTTAATCTGTCTCAAAGTGGAATCCCTTTGCTGTTTCAGCTGGACCTACTTTAATATGTCCTGTTAGTTTTATTTTGGGTGCATATTGTGTCTGGTTGCCTAGCTGATAACTGCAGTGACTTAAGACATTTAGAGGAATGTTGCTTCATACCAAGTGGTTGGCTTGGACTTGTCAGATCCTGATGGATGGAAAGGTCCAGAACTGACTTCACCTGCAATGTAACTGTAGCAGTATGTCTGTATCAAGCAACTAAGGGTCATCCTAGGAATGAATGACTGTCACCTGGAGGATTGAGCCTTGCTGCAAATCCTCAGGACAGGCTTAATATAAACTCCTGTCGTGTTGCCTCAGCTCATTTCCCACTTACATAAGGATCTGGCCTGTAGTGTAAATTCTGCAAGCTTCTTGGGTCCCTTCCAGTCTGAACAGCTAATTACACCCCAGCAGCAGTTTATTAAAAAACTCTGTTTTAGAGGTAGTGGAAGCAGATGGGAGTGCTGTGAAGTTAATTTGTCTGGGTGACAATGATAATGACTTGATTAAAGAGGACCAGGGCTATACTAAAGAGCCCTTGTCCTAGCATCAGAAAGTTGCCCTTTTATCTCTGTTTCTGTGTTCTAAATGTTCAAAGTGTTTTGTCTTCTGTAGGTTCTCCTCCTTTTTGTCTTCTGTAGGTTTTGTCTTCTACAGGTTCTCCAAACCTTTGGCAGATAATGATCTTGCACATTCTATAGACAAATGATTCAGTGTATCTCTGCCAGTCTTTGTATTTCTTCTTGTCTGTGTAGATAGAGATGTCTCTCCAACCCCTCAGTCTCTGTTCTGTTAACTTTTTCATGGTTTCATTTCCTTGCACAGTGAATAATAAGCAGCCTGAGTTTTATTTGCTTAGGGAGGTTGGCAGATTTTCTTTGTGTGATCTTAAAATCTGATATAACAGGTCTTAATTTTTTTGGTGTGTTCATAATTCCTCTGAGGAGATGACAGTTCCCAGTGTAGCCTTGCTGTTTTGCAAAGAACTGATATCTCGGAGCCTGTAGCTTGAGTGGCGGACTGGGGGCATCATTCTTGAATTCTGGGCTTGCATTCCACTGTATCTGGCAGAAATTAAAAAGAAAGAACACACAGGTTTATCCATTGTGTTGAGACAAGCCTGTTCTAGTCTCTCAAACTCTGTATGAGTGCTTTTTTGTGCAGTCCACAGTCCAGGACTACAACCAGGCAGCATGCAATGATTTGCAGTTCTTAAACTGGAGGCAGGAATCTGCATTGCCAAGTCTAGTTGTGTGGATAGGAGCAATTATGGTTTATCCTGAATTATAGAGCCTGTTTTCAGGCTATAAATCCAGAAAACTGTCGCTATGAAAACTCATGAGGTTTCTTCCAAGTTATACTTGGTAAAATAAATACAAATTAAACAGAACTCTGGCTTAGACTGGCAAGACCAACCCAAAAAGAGGATGATCTGGAAGATTCCCTTCATAGCTGAGTACCAGGGTTGCTGTATTGGATTTGTGTGACAAGGTTCTGCTAGTGGTGAGGGCTACAGGGGTGGCTTCTCTGAGCAGCTGCTAGAAGCTTCCCCATGTCCAATAGAGCCAATGTGTGTCAGCTGCAAGGCAGATCTGCTGCTAGCCAAATGCTGAGCCCATCAGCAGTGGTAGCAATGCCTCTGGGATAACATTTATGAAGGAAAAAAGGTTATAGCATGGAGGTAATTGCAGCCAGAGAAGAGAGGATTGAGAATATGTGAGAGAAACAGATGTGCAGACACCAAGGTCAGTAAAGAATGAGGGAGAGGAGGTGTTCCAGGTGCTGGAGCTGAGATTTCCCTGCAGCCTGTGGTGAAGACCATGGTGAGGCAGGCTGTCCCCCTGCAGCGCTTGGAGGTCCATGAGGGTGTAGAGGTCCACTTCCAGCCCGTGTAGAAGCCAAAATGTCCAAAAGAAGGTTGGTGACCTTCTGGGAAGCCCATGCTGGAACAGGGTCCTGGGAGGGGCCTGTGGACCCGTGGAGAGAGGAACCCGTGCTGGGGCATGTTTGCTGGCAAGATTTGTGACCCTCTAGAGGACCCACACTGGAGCAAGCTGTTCTTGAAGGGATGAACTCTGTGGAAAGGGACCCATGCTGGAGCAGTTTGTAAAGAGCTCTAGCCTGTGGGAAGGACTTGTGTTGGAGAAGTTCATGGAAGACTGTCTCCCATGGGAGGGGCCCCACGCTGGAGCAGGGGAAGGACTCCTCTCCCAAAGGAGGAAGCAGCGTCAGAAACAACAACTGATTTGTAACCCACATTCCACATCTCCCTGTGCTGCTGTGGGGAGAAGGTAGAGAACTGGGAATAAAGTTAAGCCCTGGAAGGAGGGAGGAGTGGGGGAAAGGTGTTTTTAAAAAGATTTGGCTTACTTTTCTTATCCTCTGATTTTGATTGGTAATAATTTCAATTAATTCCCCCAAGTGTAGTCTGTTTTGCCCATGATGGTAATCAGTGAGTGGTCTCTCCCTGTCCTTAACTCATGAGCCTTTTGTGGTATTTTTCTCTCCCCTGTCCAGCTGCGGAGAGGAGTGACAGAGCAGCTTTGGTGGGCACATGGCATCCAGCCAGGGTGGAACTTGGAAACAACAACAGATGCCTAGCATGTGTGTGTGTGAGAGTCAGCACAGGCAGGGCTTAGGAATAACTATGAAACCATGGCTGAAATGCAGAGAGTAAATTCATTTTTATTACCTTGTTGAGTGGGGGATCCCCAAAGCAGCACCTGGGCAGAGGCATGTGAGCAAGGACATGGGCACTGTGGAGCTCAGCCCTTGCTAGAGTGTCACAGAAGCTGCTGTTTGTACCTGTTCTTCAGGGATTCTTGCATGTGTAGTTTACCACTGTGCTGTGACCTTTCCCATGGCAGGGCAGGAATCTCAAGCATGTTTAGTAGAGTGCCTGTTGCAGTTCTATGTTATCCAAACATAAATGTTCGACTTGTCAAACACACAACAATTTGAATGATATGTATTTTTCGACATCCAAGCCTCAAATCACTTGAGCATGTTACAACCTTCCTCACCAGTCTTCATTTATTTTCCACAGTGTGTTTGCCTGTGTTCTGCCACAGGCTGGGTGGGCAAGCACAGGCAAGTATGGAGAATTACAGTGTCCTCATTGTAAGTAACTGCAGTGTGTATGAGGCTCAGCAGTTTCTTATACTGACTGTCTTGTCATTTCAGGGACCATCCATGTATCAAGTGGACTGGTGGTGGCTGCAGACGGATCCCTGTCCTGGTGTTTCATGCTGAAGCTATTCTGACCAACGACAGCTACCTCCGCCTCATTGGAGGTGGGTGCAACTATGTGCCAGCGTTTGGCCTGAAGGTGTGAGGTAGCAGTCTCTTACCTGGGTGTTCCCTTCTCTTCCTGGTGTGGAAGAGGACATGGTAGGAAGGAAATTAAAATCCTCTCTTGTCCCTGAGCACTGAGATGTTCAGAAATGCTTGATCCATTGGTGACTGTTTATAAAGTCTTTGGATTGTGACAAGTGTCTGTATTTGTCCCTCCCTTGGGTCCTGATGATGTGTTTTGAGTTGGAACTGTCTGCTTTCGAATTGAACTTGAGGCCGTGGTAGAATTTAGAACCAGAAAATAAATTCACTATAGTTAAGTACTTAAAAACAATCATTGCAATGAGTTTTGACAGGGTTTCCCTGGGCCAGCTCCACAATTGTACAGACAGTAATAAGCTGTAGTAACAGGTCTCTAGATCTACAGCCTCACAACTGTGAGTAAAGCCATAAACAAAATGATTGCTGCTATGGCAAATCCTGAGTTGGGAGACCAAACCTGTCTAGTGTCAAATAAGGGAGAGCCTCTAAATAAGAGAGTGAGTTGTTCTAACAGTTACTTTGGATTGAGGGAATTCTTACTTGTGGGCGTGTACAGCTGGGAGCTTATTCTGGATGTGCTGAGTTGGAGAAAAGCTAAAATGTACTCAGTTTCTTTTTGTGAAGGTGCTGACACTTCTTTCGTCTCTTGCATCTCTCTTTCTTAGGTAATTGGTGCCTTCATTTCTAATATCCTATCCAAGCAGAAATGCTTCTGGCTCACAGGGGTAAGGGGTAGAGAAGGTGATTTGTATGTGGAAATTCCTGATTCTTTTCATGTGAGTTAAAAACATACTTGAATGGTGGCAGAAGTTGATGGTAATTGTAACTTATGTTATAACTGGAGTGTGAGGTTTCTTCTGCTTTTTCTCAGGAGGTAGAGCCTTTTTGTCGTTTGTCTACTGCTGAATAGTGCAACTTGTGAAATTTCCTTCGGCTTTGCCTGGTCCCAGATGATGATACTTATTACTCTTTTGCTTAGACATATTTTTATTGGTAGGACATATTTCCTGAGGTTTAATCTAATCATTATCTTTTATTCTCAGTTTGAACCAGTTTGTAAAGTGCCTTTTCCAGGCAGTTCTGTGTTCTAGCATTGCAATTTCTGTCTCTACTTTCTTTGCAGTCTTTTATGGATTGTGCCATCCTCTTATATGATGACTGGGTTTTCAGGGTCTAAAAAGTGATTATATAAGCTAGCCATGTCAGTGAGGGACATAAGGCGTGATTGGCATTCCTACCTAAAAGTAATCTTGAATAGAGAAGAAAGAGCTGAAGTTGTGTTTGGAGTGTTATATGAAGGAATGCTTTAAAAAAGTAATCCTGGTAATTGTTAGGATGTCTTGTGCTTTATTTTGATGCGATAGGGTTTAGTGATGAAGCTGTCTTATAACTAAGGATTGCTGTAAGTCAGTTCAATGCCATCTTTGGAGTTAATGCTCCAAGAATTGGATAGGCATTTCCTATCACCCTTTGCCTGTTATGTGCTTCTGCTGTCTGAATTAAGTGCAACTCTACTGTGTTGAGTCCTTCTCTTTTCTTTGGTAACACGAGTAACTTTGATCTATTCTTGTAGGTGCAGACTCTAGTAAGTGTCTCTTTAAAAAAAACCCTCTTACACTACCACATGTCCTATAAGATTGTGCGAACGGACAGCCGTCTGGTTCGGAGCATTCTCACTGCCCATGGGTTCCATGAGGTGAGGGCAACAAACTTCTGAGCTGATAATGGGCTGGGCTGGGGGGTGATGATGATGTTTTGGGGGATTTTTTTGTGTTTTGTTTTGTGTGTGAGTTGCCTGTGGTTTTTTGTTTGTTTTACTCTGCAGGGTTAGAACCCAGAAGTTGCTGTGGACCCCTGTGATGTTTTGGGGTCTCTTAACACATTGTGCCAGTCAGATGGAAAATATGTCATGGTTTTGCTCTCTCAGGGGAATACCCTTTAGTCTTAAGCTGCAAAACTGGGGAAAAAAGGATGCTGAAGTTTGATCATGTGTTTTTGCTCTTTTTGCTTTAAATTCTCATCTTGCACCCTTAGGAAGATCTGAAGGGTTTAATCTCTCAGCCTTTACAAGCTTACAGAAGCACTGATGTACTGTTTCACATTTCTTTTCTAGCACCTGTATTGCTCTATAGAATGTCCTGTATGTAGCTAATGACAGTTTGAGAGATGTATGTGTAGGGTTATTTTTTTTTTCTGAATAGCATGAAGTTACTGGCTGGTCTCAACTTTCCTGAAGAGATCTTAAACGCTTTACAAATTTGGCTTAAACAGTCTATAAAAAGAACAAACTCACAAGTTTGTTTAGAAAAATATGGCGTGGTTATTTCCAAGCACCACTATACAATAGCTTAGGGCAGGAATCTGGCTAGAATTGCCTTTTTGTTAAGAGATGGGTAGAGTAGATTTGTCTTAAACTAGAAATGCTGTGGTCTCCTAGGACTAAGGACAAGTGATGTTGCTTTTCATTAGTTCTTTGTTTTTGTGTGTGGTGTTTTTATGTTGCTTTTTAGGTTCACCCTAATAGCAGTGAATATAATCTCATGTGGACAGGATCACACTTGAAGCCCTACTTGCTGCGTTCCCTTACAGACATTCAGAAAGTCAATCATTTCCCTAGGTAAGGCCTTGATACCGTGTTTTGCTGAACACCCTTGTGATGGTTTGCAAAAATCTGAACATCGATACAACCGAAAGAACAGAGTATGCATGATACTGTGAAGTCCCAACATACTAGGCCTGTGCCACATGCTGTCTTCATTCTGTATGATCTTTGGGGTTTTGGAAAGATAGTATATAAGTTAAAGTGCTTGTCTGTAGACCAAATAATGGTTTTAATTTTTTGTTTGATGATGTAAGTAAAGTATCTGGGGCTTTGGGTAGTTACAGAAATAGTCATATGTCCTCTTCTGTAGTTCGTAACCATCATTTTACAGTTTGCTCTGCTTCAGTCTGTCTTGGGAATTGCAAGAGGTGCTACAAATGATATTAATAAAGCAATAGGATAGAGACTGTAAAACTCAAGAGTAGCGACAAGTTAGGGTTTAGACATCTGACAGGGCTACAGAGGTTTTAGTAAGCAAGACAAGGGTTCCTATAATTTGGGGGGGAAAATACAGTCTCTTGTTTTGACACTTCAGGTCATATGAACTGACACGAAAGGACAGACTGTACAAGAATGTGAGCCGTATGCAGCTGGCCCATGGGTTCAAGACATTCCATATTTTACCTCAGACCTTTATCCTCCCGACAGAGTACCAGGACTTCTGCAGTAAGTGAATGGCTGGTGCTGCCCAGACCTAATGCAAAATAACTGGGTGAGGGGAAGGGAATTACTTTTAATATCCTAACTTTTTGATCATGCCAGTGATTAAGGCAACAACATTAGAGGAAGCTGGAAAGACAGTGGAAAAGGTCCGCATGATTTCTTTATGTAGTTTCTACTCTGCTGTTTACTCCATGACTCTCTAAGTCCTTAAGAAGCTAATGTGAGTGTAGGGCTCTAAAATTGAGCTGTTTTGTGTGTACAGTGTTGTTGATGATCAACTTCACAATATTCCTGACTAATGTCTGGGTGTACTGAAGAGAGAAGTGCCAAAAGGAGGCATAGGGCAGAGAAATGAATCTATCAGAGCAGCAGGAGGTACTTTGAGGAGGGGCTGTAATAATGGCAAGGTGTCCCAAGGGGTAAAATAAGACATCAAAAAAGCAGACTTTGATCTCTTCATGGAGTTCTCTAAAGCTATTACTGTAGGCAACATACTTGATTCTTGCTTCTATGTAAATAAGCAAAATGGAAGATGTTTCAGACTTCTGCTGTTTTTTTCTTTTAACCAGGTACCTATTCTAAGGACAGAGGCCCATGGATAGTGAAGCCCGTGGCCTCTTCCAGAGGTCGAGGTGTCTACCTTATAAACAATGTAAGTGTTCAGTAAAGGGACTGCTCTTCAGTAACTCTGTCTTCAAAAATACATTGACTTCCAGGCAAGAGTCGTGGAAGCATCTAAGCAGGCACTGACCCTACTCTGAATTTCAGCCATCTGTTGGTGAAGCAGTTCAACAGCCCTGAGCAGCTGCCAAAGCCTGCCCAGCCCTATGCTGTGTAAGCAAAAGCAATATATTCCTTTGTATGCTGTGCTTATCTTGAAATCTACCTTCAAGTCTTAGCTTATAGGATTACATTTATACTCCCTGAGACAGTTTGGGAAGCTGTGCTGCTTCATGTTCTCCTTGTGGCTGACAGTAGACTGGCCTTGGGATGGTTTCCAGAACTCTCCCTGGTTGTCTGCCTGTGTGACCTAAACAGTCTTCAAACAGACCCCTTGTCTCCCTCTTTCCCATGGAAAAAGACAGTTAAAATGAAACCTTATATGATAGGACGTGTAGGAAGTGTATCAGTGTTAAAGTTGTGTTATCTAAAGGCCTGTGTGCCTTTCCTGAGGTGTTCTGGGAGTAGTTCTTTGAACTCGATGTGCTGTTTATAGTGTTTTTTGCACTTTTGGGGCTTTGCAGGGAGTTAGGTTGTCATAGGTAACAAATACATTTGAACAGGAGCCAAACATGAGGGGATTCCAATAAATATTCTCAGCAGCAAAACTGACTGTTGAGTCATTTTGTTTTCACTCATTCGAACCCCTTTAGCCTTCCCTGCACTGAAGGGGTCATGCTGCCTCATCTATTCTCTACTTGGATCATTTCCCATAAAATAAGGGAGCAATTCGCCAAGTGCATGAGGTAAGTATTTCCAGAGCTGCACTCAGTTCTTTCTTTGCTTGAGAGGAATGAGCTCAGGCTCATGTGGCAGTTGGCCATGAACTGGGGAAAAGACTCTTCTGGGACCAATATACCTTCCTGTATCTCTGTTCTAGAAACACTTCAGCAAGTTTGGCCCGCAGGCCAGTTTCCTTCAGTGCGATGCCATTAAGGGAGTCCTCTAGAATCTCATCATGCAAGTGTTTAAAAACAACAACAATCCTCCCTCCCCACCCCCAACATAGTAACAAACCTTTGCTTTTCTCTGACCCATAATAGAACAGGCTGTCACTTTTGTGTGATGTGGTGAGGGAAGTGGAGCTCATTCCCTCACGCTGTATATGTGGACTTTACATGCTTATGTTTCCTGCCGATGATGTTGGTGGTATGGCTGAATACATGCAAAATTGAGCAAAGGCAGTATCATGTGGTTCTCTTGGGTCTTCTGCAAACCGAAGGCAAGAAAATGTTGTACAAGAAATTGTATGTGTAGTTAAAACTGGAGATGGGAGAGGCTTGCATATAGTAAAGGGTAAAAGCCTTTTCAACAGATCCCATGGCTTTGTGATGTATATTTATCATAGTTAGAGCTTTCTGTTCTGTACAAGGGTAGCTTCTTCCTGGTACAGGAGCTCCTGCTGTGACCCGAATCTCAGTAGAAGGTATTTACTCATGTAGACAAAAAGATTGAATACCAGCCCTGAATCTAGCTATAAAGATCACAAATTGAGTAATTTTCTTCCATTTTCACTTCCTCACTCACTGTAGTTACATACTCCTTCCAGTGTCTTCTAAACCCCAGTTCCATGTGTTTGGTTAAACCCTTGAGAAGCAAACAGAATAACAGTGGCTTCTTAGATGTGGGTCTTTTCCTGCCTATTTTGCATCATTGTCATGTGGCTGTTAAATCGGTATGCTAGTCTGAGGAGCATTTCACTGGAAGATTCAGTTGGCAGTTTTTTTGGCAATGTAATCATTCCCAGACGTCTGGTTAGGATCTAATTACCTTATGTTGTGACTGATACGGGTTTTTTTCATTTTGTTTTTATTTCTTCCTCAGATGTAGTGGTTGGTACAGGGTGACTTTAGGAGGGAAAGGCTGGAAAAAATGGTGGGTTTGATCTAGTCATCTTTTTGTTCCGTAAGTGTCCTATTTTTTCACTCTTGAATTCTCTGTTCTTCTGCAGCCAAACCAGATTGTCCTGGAAGACAACATCCTGGTTTCTCGTTACATCAGCAACCCCCTGCTCATTGATGGTGAGTATGCTTAGGAATTACTTTCCTCTCTTCCCCAACCCTGCATCTGAGGATTTCTGCAACCTTGCCAGGAGTTTAGGTGAATAATTGAGTGATCTAGCTTTGTCTAGTACCAGAAAAATCTAACTAGAGAATTACTTAAAACCTGGAAGCTTTTCAAGTGGGAAAGCTTCAGGCACCTGTGTGGGAAGCAGATAATGGTTTATTGCTCTCAGGGTGTGCTGAAATTCCTCAACTGGATATGATGTCTGAAAGATACTTGCAGCCACTGACTCTTGGCAGCTGTATTTCAGATTTCAAGTTCGACGTGCGGCTCTATGTTCTGGTTACATCCTATGATCCGCTTGTCATCTATCTCTATGAGGAAGGATTGACCAGGTAGGGGAGGATTCTTCTTTTTCAGTGTCTCTGCACTGGGAGATCCAGACACGTCTTGTCTTGCCTCTGTACTCCTGAAACAGTAGTAAATGAGGGAAGTGCCAGTTAGAAAATTCTGCAGAGTTTAAATATATGATGCTTCATCATGCTGTGTCCCATCAGTTTTCTTTATATAGATAACAGGATCTTGAGTGAGGGATTTATTGCATGTATAATGAATAAAGAAAGTTTTCAACTTTTAAGGGTTGAATGGTCAAACACACCATCATTGGCATGTTCATTCTCAAAGTTGGGTGGTTCTTGAAACTTCTGTGGGTTCTTGGTGCTTTTGTGCCTGTTCTCCATTCTCCAAGGTGAAGGGAATCTAAACTTTCTCAAATTAGAATGACAAAAGCAGTTGGAGACCTGTTGATGGCTGTATTAGCCATGAGTTTTAATACTCATCTAAACTTTAGGTCAGTATTTGTATTTTCTACAGTATCCAGTAAGTAGGTTTAGACAGGTTCACTGTTTTTACCTTGCAAGATGTCAATTTTCTTTTACATGTAAGTCATTAAAGGTACCTAAGATTCCCCAGGAGGAACACCTACCAAAATATACCTGTTTCTTTTCATCACAGAAGTTTAACTAAATATCTGTCTGTAGTAACTAATAAATTTGATGTAATCACCCCTCTGAATTTCCAACAGATCAGAATTTTAACTGTAGTGATTTTTGAGAAAAAAGCACCATAGGATTGTCCTCTGCAACAGTTTTAAGCAATGCTGTATCTCTCTTTTTTAAGTACATCTGATGTACCCATGAAGAGTATCTCTAGGGTTCATGCCTCCATGGCTCTGGCTTGGGTAGATACTGAATCCAACTTATCTTTATCCAAAGCAGATAATGAATCCTAAAGAATATATTAATAATGATCCCACAAGAAATATCCTCCTTTAAATTGATGAACACCCTTCAGGTGGGTTGTGATGTACCTCTGCCAGCAAAGATAATGTGAATAGATTGTTTCCCTAAAGGGAGGCAGAAAGGGGAAGCTGAGCTTCATCAGTGGAATGTTTGACAACTATATTCACTTTAGAAAGGGAGTCTTAAACATGCCTGGCATGGAAGACGCTTCTCTTGGGAATTGGCAATTAGATTGTTAGTTGCTAATATTGCATGTATTTGGAAAGTGAAGAGGGAAACAAGATAAGAGTAGATTGCCAGGATGTTCTCAGAATGGGCAGTGCATAGCAGGCCTTCAAAACAGCATTTGTACCAGCATTAATGTCTTCATGGTGGTTCTGCTGACCTTGTTGTAACAAAGGGTTTATTTATGGAAAAATCCATCTTTTTAAACATAAGTGTTCTACTCTGAGATAAGTGTGCTAATTCCATGATAGCATTTTTGTGTCTGAGAGTAGAGTAACATATTTTGCTTGGGGTGAGGGGAAGTGTATATGAAGATGTGTATGGTTTGGGGTGGTTTGTATTTGTTTGTTCTTGTTTTTCTTTTAACAGTTCCAGTCATATTAGAGGTCTAGGGAGAGAAATGAGGAAGGACAGAAATGTATTCTTTTGACTGGAATACACTGGTCAGTAAGTTCTAGCAAATCCCTTATGACAGAATCATCAAATTATTTAGGTGGAAAGAGAAGTCTGGACTTTTTTAGTCCAGTCTCCTGAAGACAAGGTCTTATTAGAAGTTTGAGCATATGCTCTGTGGCCTTACACCATGAAGTTTTTAATACCTTCCAAGAGTGGAGATTCTGCAGTTTCCCTGACAACCTGTTTCAACATTTGATCATTCTCACTGTGAATGTATGTATGTGTGTGTGTGTTTATATCTAATCAGAATTTCCGTTGTTTTATTTTGGCTGTTGCCTCTTGTCCTTCTGCTGTGCACCTTTGAGAAAAGTCTGGCTCTGTCTGTATACCTATGCGTTAAGGAGTTGAACACAACCGTTAGATCTGTTCTTAGCCTTCCTATCCACAGGCTAAACAGTTCTTTTCTCCTCAGCTTCTCTTTGTACATCGTGTTTTTTTCAGCTCGTTTTAATAGCTCTCTGCCAGACTTGCACCACTTAGTCAATGCTCCCACTGGGGGGCACATAACTAGACATGATGCCCTAGATATGTGCCCACTGCTTGCCTAGCACTCGCAAGTAAGAGGCACTAATCACTTCCCTCAACCTACTGACTCAACTCATGTTGGCACAGCCCAGCATGTAGTTAGCCTTCATTGTTGGAAAGGCAGACTGCTAATTTGTGGTTGGCTCCTTGTCCTCCAGTACTGCTTGCCTGTTCTGAAATCTGAAATCCTTAACAGTATTATATGTGTTTAGAGTCCATTTGATTAAACTATAATCAAATCTGGAGCACATGGAGTCCACCTACATGACAAGTGGAACATATATCTACAGGACAGCACAGTATTACTAATGGTAGTTGTCCTTCAAATTGCATCCCATCTTATAGCTCTCTGTGAGAGGCAGGGAGTATATGGAGACTTAAAATGGCACTAGGTATCTGGTGTTTTGTGATATATGGTCAGCTCTACCTGTACAACTGTGGAACTGGTGTAGAGGGTATAATGGCATGTTGTCTCTGGTCGAAGGTCCTGACTCTGGAGGGTAGCTTTTTTCTGTTACTAAACTTAACTGCCCACTGAGCAATGTCTGCTGAAGTGTCAGCTAAAGACTTGTAGTTGAAAGCTTTCACATGATAGGTATAAATTTCTTGCAACCAGTATCTTTAATTACTCATGAACTTTTCCCGTCTCCTGTGGCTGTGGGGTTGGTGCAGCATGTGCTGCCAAGCTTTCTTTGGAGGACGACACTCAAGGTGAGCAGAGGTTGACGAAACTTTAGGTGAGGTGCTCTCTATGGCCTCCAGATGGCACTAGTGGTCTTTAGCTTTAGCGGTCTGCATTTTCCCCATACCCTGAATCTGCAAATTCAGTTGGTGAGAGGTAAGGAACCTGGAGCTACTGGATTCTGGCTTTTTTGTCTTCCATTTAACAGTGCAATCTAAGTGCTGGGAGAGACCCTTTTATTGCCTCACACGGTGTAATGCTTTGCTTTAAAGCTGGGACAAAACTTTAGCTGTGTGGGGAGGGGGGAAGTGTTTTAACCTTGGGGAATAGAAGCTGATTTCAAATCTTTGTGTAAGAAAAAAACCCCATGCTACTTAAGAGTAGAAGCAATTTGTAACAAAGAACTGGGAGGTAATACCAGTGTCTGGAATCAAGGGTGGTATTGAAGCAATCTAAGGGGAAAACCACCAGCAGAACTCAGGAATATGGTTTTGTAGTCTTTGCTAGTGCTTGTTGTGCATTATGGTGACTTCCATGTTTTGAGTTTGCTTTCTGAAGGCAGATAGCCTCTGTAGTGTAGTCAGGGTGACCTTCTAGGTTGTTCTATTAACTTTTTTTTCCTTGGTCTATCTGAAAGGTCATATTTCCCTCCAGCATTATGCTTTGCTTATTCCAAGAGGAACCTGACTGTTCCAGTAAAGGTGGTGACCTCTACCAGAAAAGGAGTGCTATCAGGAAACCATTAGATGTAATAATCTTTAAAATGAGCAGACTTGGTATAACACATGTTTGTGATGTTTGACTAGATACTTTCTTAGGCCTAGTTTTTTTTGGCACACCTGGTCTTGTCATGACATGATCTAGAGTGGAATTTGAGGCTTCAGAACTGAGGAGAAATAAAGGACTAGGGATTCAACTTTAGTACCTTGTGTTTCGCTTTCCATATGGGAAGAGTGAAGAAGAAGTTTCCTCTGAAGGAGAAGAGAAGGGTATGTACCGAGATGTGTATGGCAAAGTCTTCAGCTATTGTTGCTTGGCTTGTGCGGGAAGTACTGAATAACTATTTGGTTTGCCCTGGCCAAAGTTCTCTCTCTCTCTCTTTTCTTTCCTTTTCTTTTTCCTCCCCCCCTTTTTCTTTTTTTAATGCAGTTTTTCCAGGAAGATACTGACCTCAAAATGTTTGAGGTTTGGTTTATTTTTTTGGCATGTTTATCCTCAGAAAGAATATTGAGTAAACTTAGGAAGTGCTGATGTTGAGTAGGTTCCTTTTGGAGCTATTTCCACCCCACCCCCTGTGGAATAAGTTGTATTTAGTAGGGACAGAGCCTTAGGTCAGCAAAATCAGCTAATAGACTTCTGGAGAGTTACTAAGAACGGCATCAGTGAATGTGCTCTGTTTTCATATTTTGTTCAAATACTGCTTTTCTGGTCTTGCCTCCCGCAAGCTCTTTCAAAACTCTTCCTGCATATTTTGGGCCTGGTGCACCTCTAGAAGGAATGCTGCTAATAGATTCATTTGTGGATATTGAGTAATCTGCTCGGAGGGAGTGGAGTGGGGTGGGGATTTTTTCCTCTTTTTTGAGGCTTGAAGCAAGACTGAAGCTGTCCTTAAGGCATAAAGCAGCACGGGGTGACTTAAGATCCTCCTGTTGGATTGAAAAATATGTTGAACACTTTTCTAGTATGTATTAAAAAAACCCCGTAGACAGTATGCTGCTGTACATCTATTAAATTGGCAGATATTTAGTAACTTTGTGCAGGGAAGGGCAATTATAATCTAGGTTAGTCGTCTGTGATTCACACCTTGGAGAACTGTAGCTGGGACTCTTGCACTGAAGGTATAGGTTTGGAAAATGAGATGGTCATGGCAAGCTTGGTCCAAGTTTACCTGAGGGCATGACTCAGTCATCTGATCATACGTTAAAAATCTATGTAATTTTATTTATATTAGATTTTATTTTATATTAAATGTATTTTATGTATTTATTTATTCCCAAATAGGCAGTGTAGTATATTTATTGACATACCTTTCATATCCCAGTTTGAATAAGAGGTACGTTGTTAATAAACTACAGTCTTAATTATAAACTTTGACATGCTTTTGAAGGTGACTCACCAAGCCCAGTTATGTGGGAGTCCCAAGGCTGCTCTTAGAGCCAACTGCTGAATTGGTGGATTATGCTGGTTTTTGGAGGGGCATTGATGC